ACATCATCTTAATACATTTTTTAAATATGTCTGATTGTGACATGCAGAAGCATAAAGCAGTTAACTCCCCAAATTAGGTATGTGCATAGAAGCTAAATCACTATCCTGAACAGGCAGAGTGAGTTCTACTAGATGGGTTCTTTCCATGGCATAAGGATGATGGGAACACTTCCCAATTATTTCCCTGAAATAACATATTCTAATTCTATTTGTTACTAATGTAGTTAAAACAGTACTGTCGATCTTAAAATCTTGTGCCAAAAAATCCCAAACCAAAGCCAAAAATCTTGATAAATTGCATCTCTATGATGATGTTTCCATTTCCCTCCTTCTGGTGTTGTCCATTTTTGCTATGTAATACAGTCTGTGATTGTAGCAGATGATTTAAAGACTTCACACTACAGAGAATCTAAAATTTGAGGACTTCAGTAACTCAGCCAGAGATTATGAGCCTACTACAGGAGTGGGTGGGTGAGGTTCTGCGGCCTGCAATATGCAGAAGGTCAGACTAGATGATCATGATGGTCCCCCTTCTGGCCCTAAAGTCTATGCATCTATTAGAATCTTTTTTATTTTTGTAACGCTCCCATTTCAGCTTCCTCTCTCCTGATAGCTAAAACCACACCTTTAAAACTATATTAGAGCTCAACCAGCAATAAACAAGCTCCAGAGCAAGGGAGCATGAAGGTTTGTAGATTAAAAAAATATATATATAGGGAGATATACCTATCTCCTAGATCTGGAAGGGACCCTGAAAGGTCATCAAGTCCAGCCCCCTGCCTTCACTAGCAGGACCAAGTACTGATTTTCCCTCAGCTTCCGTAAGTGGCCCCCTCAAGGATTGAACTCACAACCCTGGGTTTAGCAGGCCAATGCGCAAATCACTGAGCTATCCCTCCCCCTTCTGATAAGCAACTACAATAGTGATGTTTAAAATGAATAGACTGGAATTATCTCAGCAGCAACAGCTATATGTGGCAATTGATGAGTAGGAGAATGTCATGAGTGCATTTGTCATGGGGGGACTGTAACAGAAGCATAATACAGTGCACCCTCGGTTACTTACAGACTAGATCAGATTTCCCATTCTTCCAGCCCTTAGTATGGTTAGCACTCTCCACATACCAATATCAGATTCAACCTCCAATCCAAACCAGTTTATGGACAAATCTGCTGTCCCTGAGTGGCTCAGCCACTGCTCCTGATGACATTATGTCATTAGCCATGAGAGGCTGCGGGAACATTCTGCATGCATCAAGGTAAACTTCTTATCAGTCTCCCCCTACTGCAGGAATAAGATGGGAACAGAATTTGTAAAAGAATATTACTGTGTCTTGTTCCTCGGACAGAGTATCTACAGATTTCTGATGAAGTGCCAAAATGTTAAGCCTGTGCTCCCCGAGAAACTCACAAAGCTCAAGAACATAGCTTCTGATGGGAAATCACAATGGAGCTAGCCTTGCTTGACACACTCCCTAAGAGCATAAACTACAGAGCTGATTCTTAGCTGCTAATTACTGATACTATTACTTGTAGATGACTGCCCAGTTTTGCTTTAGTCAGTGTGGCTCTGCATCTTTTCAAACCCAAAGGTCAATTTCCCATCAGACTGTCTTGACAGACGCTCTGCAAATGATTCAGCTGGGAGAACAAGCCGCAGTAAGAACCACTCAAAGGGAGCTTTTTGGAAAAAAGCAAACTTCTAAGAGAAAACATAAATCTAATTGTAAGATAATCAGACTAATTAGGTGGACTCCTGCTATGTCCAAAGTTGTATGTCTAAATAGTTCTCCATTTGAAAACAGGTAACAAAAATGTGTAAAATGTTGAATTGACAGCTCCCAAGACTGAAATTCTCCAGGTCCAGCAGCCATGCCACAGGTCCAGCAACAGTCAGTGTCAGTGAAGCTTTCCCACAATACACCTGCCCTTTAAATGCACCTCAGCTGTGACCTGGAGAAATTGCTTGTGAGGGAGCACACTGTGTCCTGGGTCTCTGTGCTGAAGGGTGCCAACAGAAGTCAGATAAGCTAAGGTCAGAAATTGAAGAAACAACTGATGATTATGGGTTCAAATTAGGGTTACCAGCTATCTGATTTTCGACCGGAACACCTGGTTGAAAAAGGACCCTGGCGGCTCCGGTCAGCACCATTGACTGGGCCGCTAAAAGTCCGGTCAGAGGTGCAGTGGGGCTAAGGCAGGCTCCCTGCCTGGATCCATGCAGCTCCCAGGAAGCGGCCAGCATGTCCCCCAGACTCGGAGGCGGCCATGGGGGCTCCACGTGCTGCCCCTGCCCTGAATGCCCGCTCCACAGCTCCCATTGGCCAGGAACCACAGCCAATGGGAACTGCGAGGGCAGCGCCTGCAGGCAGGGGCAGTGCACAGAGCCTCCATTGCTGCCCCTCCGCTTAGGAGTTGGAAAGATGTGACACCGCTTCCCGGGAGCCACCTGAGGTAAGTGCCACCCAGAGCTCGCACCCCCTCCCACACCCAAACTCCCTCCTGAAGCCCGCACCCCCTCCTTCACCCCAACCCTCTGCCCCAGCCCTGAGCCCCCTCTCACACCCAAACTCCCTCCCGGAGCCCCCTCCCACACACAACCCCTCATCCCTAGCCACACCCCACAGCCTGCACCCCCAGCTGGAGCCCTCACCTCCTCCCACACCTCAACGAAAATGAGCAAGTGAGTGAGGGTGGGGGGAAAAGAGGGGAACAGAGGAGGGTGATGGAGTGAGTGGGGGTGGGGAATCGGGGAAGGGGGTGAGGCAAGGGTGTTCATTTTTCTGTGATTAGAAAGTTTGCAACCCTAGTTCAAATGGCTGGTCCAAATTTATATATTTAAAAAAAAAGATTCTTGTAGCTTGAAGTCAATAAGTAAAAAGGTGACAGGCCTTTGAGTCTTTCCTTATACAAGGATAAGCAATTCCCACATCCCAAATGTAGGAAGTACGTCACTCTCTTGGCCCACTCTACTTCATGTAATCCCAACAGATGGACAGATTCACCCCTCACTGAGCTGAGCATCATCCCTCCGCAACTGGGATTCCTGGTAATTTTGTCAGTCATCTGGGCTAGCTTCTCTGCTCAGAGAAAAGGCTTTAATGCTTTCACTGCCAGTTACAAAATGGGGTCAATACAGCCCCCATCTGTTAGGGCCAAGCTGTGGGTGGCTGGTGTGCACTGGTCAGTTACCAAGTTGTGGTCAAGGGATGTGTAGTGGAGTTGGGATTTAGTTGGGTCAGGATGCCAGGAAGTCAGGGTCATGCATCGGGTGACAGACAGGAAGCAAGTAGTGGAGTCAGGGACAAATCAGGGTCAGGAGCTGGAGTCTGGGGTTCACAGCAAGGCAAGGTCTGGAGCAGAAGCAAGCAGGTGGTCTGCATCGTTGCTCAGACAGCTCCCCATGCTGGCTTCCTGGTATATACACCAGCATGAGTTAATCAGTGGGCTGCAGGGAGGACACCACTCAGGCCCCACTGGGTAGTACTTCCTGCAGTGTCTAGCTTCATGAGGTCCTCCAGTGGAACCCCAGCCTGAGCTCCCAATGGTGATGCAGAAGTGCTGGTGGCCCAGAACCTCCATGGTCCCAGGTTTTAGTCCTGCAGGGTCTAACACTAGCATAGGCACCAGTTTAAAATAGCCAGGCTACCACTTCTCTTTTAATCTAAAACGGATGATGCCTCCTCCTCTCATCCCCCCAGCCTTCCATGAAGAGCTTACAAATTAGTTACAGGCAGTGACACAATGAGCAGGACAACAGCACAATCAGGAAGATGGGGGCGAAGGAAGGACGGGTTACATATTAAAATTACATGTTCAGCAAAGGCGTGTGTACAGCATGCAATACATTTTATATAAATAAGTGTCTGACTCACTTCTTGAGGGTGTCGTGGTGGAAATTGGCCTGAAGGAGACATCAGAATGAGGAGAGGAAAGTAGTCTAGTAGACTGGGAAGGACATTTTTAGTGAAATGTGGTAAGACACTGAGATCGCTTATGAATATATAATTAAGGCGGTCATGAAATTCTTAGAATGGTAATATGTTGTGAGCTGGTGTCTGGCCATTTCTCCCAGGCCTGCTGAAAAGTCTCTTTTTTTAGACTACTAGTTAATAGCTGTACATAGAAATCGCTGAGTAAGTGCTTAATATTTTCTTCTTAATTCGATATATGTATTTACAGCCCCCACAAAACCAATCCCTCAGTGATTTGTTCAAAAAAGTGTCAGAAACCTGAGGAAATTCCCAGCATCACAAGCACCTACAACAACGAAACTATATGCTGTTCAGTAGCAAACCAGCATGTTTTCTGGTGGAAGGATTTCAGTACAAAGCCTTCCAATGTCAAGTTTCCCAAGGGTCACCGTAAATAATAGTGAGAAAAATTGTTTAGAGATGAGGAAAATATTTAGATTGGGTCCTTCTGAGTGATCAGTTACACAGGTAAACCCTACAGCAGTACACAGAATACATATATAGCAAGGTGCTTGGTTTAGCAGTTTCCCTCTGGATTGCCCTCGAGAAATCACTCATTAATCAGTCCAAACTTGCTTACATTGGTACCTTCATATTGACATCCTTTGGAAGTGCCTTAAAAAAAAATCAGTTTACCTGTCTCTGTGCCAGTCCATCTGCAAACATGAAATCATTTCCAGCCCATTCTAATGGTTCCATTTCACCTCTGTATCTTCAACACTTAACTTCCCCCTTACCTAAACAGAACTCATCTGTGTTCTGCTAAAGAACCTCTGTCCAAGCACTTACATTATGGGGATCTGGCTCTTTGGAGAACAAGGAAGTTATTTTAAAGTTGCGCTTTTCTATGCAAATTTCTTTGCTCAAGTTCCCGGATTCTTTGTTTTGTTTTGCTTCTGCTTTTAACACTTCAGCAGAAACTGATGCCCCATTGCCTGTCCACCAGGTCCCTGACCCTGAACAGCGCAGATCAGTGCTGAAAAACTTCATGTGTATAAAAAAAAATAGAATACAACGGAGACTCACTTGAGAGCAGGGGATCCCTAAGGAGCGCTGGGATATAAGGAAATTCACTGAGGTGCAGCAGCACAGATCTTCTGTCTTCCCAGCTCCTGACTCCGGCTGGCTGGCTTAGCTGACCTCCGCCCCACTCCGAGCCAGGCAGTGAGTGAGAGAGTCTGGAGGAGGAGGGGGAGGAGATTGTGCTTCAGTTCCTGCTGCTCTTGCTGGTACCACTGCAGAGGAGTGAGACTATCAGCTCCCTCCTGCCTCACTTGCTCAGAGAACACAAAACCAAAACCACATACTGAGGTGTACAAATCACAAGTAGAAAATAACCACACAGCCATACAATATACACTGTACAATATGCACAACTGTTCAAACCTACACAAACACACCGGTGGTCACAGACGTAAGCAGGTCTAGCATATATACACAAATCCTATACACAGGGATCAAACACGCATAGCCCAGATATCACTGTGTGTAGTAGGTCTGGACACACAATGTGCACACCTACATGACACACACAAAGTGTTATTTGTATGGCAGTGGCTCCTAGAGGCCTCATATGAGATCAGGGCCTCATCATGCTAGGTACATAAGCAAACATAATGAAAGACAGTCCATGTGAAATTCTGCAGGGACCGGAACCTGGGTCTGTGGGTTGCCCAACACTTCCGCGCTTCTACCCCACAGCTGTGATGGGGCCATATGCCTTATCACATAGACCTTGTGGAGATGAGCACCAGGAAGTTCCCCTCAGAAGGCCAAACTGATAATTGCCCTCATGGCTGCTGATTGGTCCAGCCACTTTGTTTAAGCCCAGGAATTGTTTCAGAAAGTGTCCATGCAAGGAGACGGACTCACCTGCCAGCCATAGTAACGGACCTGCCTGTCGGCTCGCTCTCAGACTCCTGACCCCAGCTCTGACCTTCGATACTATTCCTAGCTTTTGACTGTCATTGCTATGACCACTAGGACTGACTGCCCAAGCTCCAGTCATGACAGTCCCTGCCTTGAAGAGTTTACAATCTACAAAGGGCTGGAGAGGCAGTATCAGTATTAAATCATTTGTCTAAGGCAGGGATCAGCAACCTTTCAGAAGTGGTGTGCCGAGTCTTCATTTATTCACTTTAATTTCAGGTTTCGCGTGCCAGCAATACATTTTAACGTTTTTAGAAGGTCTCTTTCTCTAAGTCTATAATATATAACTAAACTATTGTTGTATGAAAAGTAAATAAGGTTTTAAAAATGTTTAAGAAGCTTCATTTAAAATTAAATTAAATGCAGAGCCCCCTGGACTGGTGGCCAGGACCCGGGCAGTGTGAGTGCCACTGAAAATCAGCTCGCGTGCCGCCTTCGGCACGCATGCCATAGGTTGCATACCACTGGTCTAAGGTCATATAAGAAGTCTGTGGCAGAGCTGGAAACTGAACCTGAGTTGCAATCCAGTGCCTTACCCACAAGACCATCTGTTCTCCTCCAGGACAGAGAGACGCACATTAGAAACTGCACATTGTATATTAAATACTGCACAACACAGGTGTAGACACACACACTATCAAATAAATAAATAAAAATCCATGCCAATTTGGAGCATGGGATAGGTGCAGATAGGATCCATCCATTAAGAGAGAAGGTGTGAGCTATTGGGAATGTTGCTATATCCCAAACGGTTTCAGAGCACAGATATTTTTGGCAGCCTTAAACTATTATAGAAGATCTGTGTCAAATTTATCAGTATTAAGCAAACTACCTGCATTTTTAATTAAAAGAAAATATTAAATGGATTTGGGCCAAGAGCGAAAAATAAGGTTGTGATGGGGGGCACTTGAAATGCCTCCTTGCAGCTGGGTGTGGTACTGCAATCTTTTCCCTGCTCCTGGCAACCCCTATAGGTCACCAGTCTTGCTAGGTGGGTCTTCAGTGGTTTAGCCCTCCAGCTAAGTCACACATTCAAATAGACTCCTTCCAGGGTGATAAAGAGTTCACCAAAGTGTCTGCCCTCATCAGGGTCTTCAGCTCCATCTCTGGGCCCAGTACATTCAGCCCTCTGCTTAGACTTCTAAAGGAGCTTTGTCCCCTTCTCACAGACTAGGCCGATTCACCAGTGGGTGGTGGAGGAACCTAGATCTGCACACGTCACTGGGTCCCAATCCAGGGACCCTATCCACAGCAGCTGTGTATGGCCTCCTTTAATAAGTTGCTGCTGTTTTCCCTGGGCTCTTCCCACCTGGTCCCTTTGTCTTCACCCATTACAGTAGGGTTACAGTTCTCAGGTCCTCTCTCTCGCTGGTTCAGTAAATGCAGCCAGTCAAGCTCCTTTGGCCAGAGAAGAGCACACTGCCTCACCCTTCTGGGCCCAGCCAGGAACTGAGCTGCTAAGCCCCTGCAGCTCTTTTTATCTGAGCCTGCTGGGCTCTGATTAACTGCTTCCATATGTCCTCCCTGAGCAGACCTGGGGGACCCACCTCCACTGTTCCTTTCCTGGGGCAGGGTGTAGTAGGATCACCGGGCCTCCAACAGGGGCCCACAAAGGGCCAGGTAAACCCCATCACAAAAATCTTTCAGGAAGCAAAATGAAAATTGTCTAATTCCGTCACCTTTTAATCAAAACCTTCCTGTTTTGTTAGCATACGATGCCTCTCTTGTTGGATTTGTTATTTCAAATATATGTAAAGAAAAACCCATAGCATTTGCTTCCAGGATATTATCAAAGGCTCGGAGGTATTACTCTCAAATAAAGAGCCGCTAGGCGTTGTTTTGGGGTAATTATGTTTCATTAATTCCTGTTTGGAGAAAAATCCACCTTGCTTACAAGCCCCTGGTGATGACACTAGATCAAAAGGCAGGCACTCCACCTTTAGCAGCAGCCAGGGTGCAAAGAGAAACGTTCATGTTAGCTGCATGCTAGATATAAGCCATTAGCGAGACATGTTAACAATAATGCATTATCCCAATTGCCACTGAAAGTAGAGAGACAATCAAAAATAATATTGGTGAACAGAATCTCTTTTCTAGACCCCAAAGTCTGATGATTAAACCTCTGATCTCCAGAGGTGCTGAACACTGGAGCTCTACCTGAAGTCAACAGGAGCTGTGGGTGATCAGTGTCTCTGGAAATCAGACTCTTGGACACTGGACACATCATTCTCCATTAGAATCCACTGTAAATAAATTATTTTTATGCCTCATTCTCTAAAGCAGGCATCTTGGATGGAATTGTATCTCCATCTCTTGACCCTGCCCCCCCCCCCCCCAAAAAAAAAGAAAAGAAACCAGACCACAATAAAACCCAGCAAACCCAGCATAGTTGTGGTTGGTTTTTGATCTGTCCATCCATTAAATACAACTCTTCTCAGTCCAGTTCATTGAGGCGGAAGCTGTACGGTTTGAGAGTAACTTGCCTCTGACTGTGTCTGCTGGCAAACATCCTGACAAGCTTTTAAAAGAAGAAAACAAAACACATGTGAGCGTAGTTGCTGTAAAACACACAGCTCAGCTATGGGGGATTCTGGAGAGTTTGGGAATTGTGTAAACGGAGGATTGGCTGAAATATAGGGCAATTCCTTTCAGGAGCACAGTTAATTCATGGAGTGTCTAACAAACTCTACTGCCATTAACACACACACACACACACACCCTCTCCCTCCTCCCCACCTCATTGCACATTGGGACTCACTTAAAAAGAAAATGGAATGACAGTACTTATAGTCTTTTCCCGCTAATGAATTATTCAAAACTGAAATAACTATTCTGTGCATGTGACAATAATTCTTTCCGTTTTGCATTGGGAGACTGTTTTACTTTTGTGATGATTAATTAGCCCCATTGGGTAGGGTAACTTCTGGTAGGCACGGTTGTAATTAAAAAGGAACAGGGCTAAACTAATACTGTTAATGTCAGTTACTAATTACAGGGACATTGTCAATTAATTTAGACTTGACATGGGAGAATACATCCAAAATTTGAATGGAAGTTTGCAAATACAATTTGGTTGCTATTCATCACCCTTTTAATTTTTTCCATAAATTTTTTGCGTGAGTGATTTGGGGTTTTTTTATTATTATTATTCACATGAACGTTTGCACGTGGTGACATTCTCCTTTTCCACAAATGATAACTCCACAAATGTTTATCTACATTTTTCCTACAGTTTATGTTTCAATCATCCAATCAGAAAACAAACAGCCCAGTGGCTCAGATGACCAGTCACGCAATGACTAACATATGATTCAGGACATAAACAAAAGGAGCAGCTTTTACAGTGGGTGTAAAATAGCATAGCTATTAGCTCCTTGACAATTTACACCAGCTGAGGATCTACTCCAAAATTTCTATACAATGTACCTTCAGCTCACACTCATCTCTGCTTGAGCTCCAGCTAAGGGCAAATTTTGTTATGAAAAGTTGAGTAAAATCCTTTCAGACATGTGGTCTTGTGAGGAGGGGGAGGGGGACAAATATCTTCCACTTTTAAAAAAACATACCCCAGAGAAATAACTCCCAAACCAGCTGACTGCTGTACCAGCCTGTAAATGGTGCTCATTGAGGTATGTGGCTATGACAGTATTATAAAAAGAAATTGACAGGATATTAATAAAGTTAAAAGCAATAGAAAAAATCAGTGATGAGAGGAATAAGAGGTTAAATGATAGAGCCATAAAAATGGTATAGAGAACAAAAATTGGCTGTTTCAATTTACTATAATCCAAGAACATGTACTGTGGGAAACATGATAAAGCACCTGGGATAAAATCCTGGCTCCATTGAAGTCAATGGAAAAACTCTCAGTGGGGCCATGATTTCACTTCTTATCTTGAGTAAGTGTCAATAATAGTTAAAAAAAAACCCAACAAAATTAACAAATAGTTTTTCTGTAATGGTCATGGCATACACAGAATACATGATGGTGTGGGGTGATAGAAATGTGTTCACTGGCATTAATTTGGAATGATCTGCATAATTCATTCATGATTTTGTTTCTGGTATATAACTTGTTCATCACAGACTCATGCTGAAAAATCCCTTATACCACATCACCTCATCTCTTTAGAGTTTCTAAAATATAATTCATTTGTCACCATTAAACCAGTTACTTTACTATATTGTCTCAGCTTGGCTAATGAAAGATGGACAACTAGTCAATTTTA